ATAAATTAACTGGATGAAACCGAGCAACTATTCCAAAAGAATATGTATCAAGATTAGCCGACAGAACGTACAGATCACTAGGCAGCACATGGCGCATGAATATTGATAAAACATAAAACGTTCACGATAACGACAGTATATTTTGATCGCGATGGATAAACCCAATATTACATGTACAAATGCATGCTAATGTATGGATATATAATTCATGGAAGTAACGTCTACGATACATTTCTATACGTACTAGTTTCTTTTTTAATGTTATTGCTTAGCACGACAAAATGACGTTTTTATGCCGTTTCACATAATTTTCTCAATATGACTTTATTTTCAACAATCTTGCATAATTTTTTTAATTCAAAGTACTGCACAATATTGATTTTAAGTTGTTATATGCTTTATTATGATTTTAAATTCGTTTTATACGATTCAAAATTTGCGTGAAATCATATAATAAAGTCACTGAAAAATTAAAAATAAAATTTTATTAATTAAACAGATTTAATAATAAAAATTTTTTTTTCAATTTGTCGTAGTAATATTTGATTAATTATATTAATTTATATCTATTTTTGAAATTAATTTTTTACTTAATTTAATTTATATACTAAATAATATAGATATGGTAAATATAGAGAACTCGTCGACAAACAATGTGCGGATAGAGTTAACTATAATCATAATCGAACGACAGACTAATGGACAAGATGTAAGTGCATTCACTTTCAAGGACAATAAAGAAACTAGATACACATCGTAGAAAACTATTGAAATATATAACCAGCAAAGAATAGTAGACGCTTAAGAGACAAACGAGCACGCGGCAAACAATGACAAACGTATCGACATGCACCGCGCAAAAAGATGGCAACAGCGGTGTCTGATATCGCGCGAGAGAAAAAGTTTCCTCGTTTTTCATCACGCGTATAGTAGGAAGCGGTTATGCATTCGTTATTACGCCAAGCGGAAGCACCTGTGGACTATGAGTGTACGATGGGTTCGGTGCCCGGTCGAGGCTTCGCCTTCGAGGCGACTAATACTTGCTCGTGTGCGAAAGGAAGCAAAAAGGAAGAAAAAACGGCCGAAAGATTTTTTCTTCTTACAATTAGTTTGCTTCGTATATTTTTATATCTTTCTTCCATTAACTAATCAAGATGATTTCTCGGAGGCTAATCAGAGAGCCGATTCGTTTTGCTTGTAATAATCCTTCATTGAGACTTCGTGTATTGCCATCTTCGTTTCTTACATTTATCTGCTCTTTCTATGTTTACTACTGCGTAAAAAATACATCACGTTACGATATCTCCTCTATCGGATTACATATACGTAGATTTTATCTCTTTAACTACATCTAATTAAGAAAAGAATGTAATTAAAAAAAGAAGTACGAGTACATACTGTGTGTGTGTGTGTGTGTGTGTGTGTGTGTGTGTGTGTG